GTGTACTGTTTACAGCATGTTACTTAGCTTTGTTTTATTGCCGTCGTGAACACCGGATAACGAGCAAAAAGTCCAAAGATGATTTCAAAAGTGATGGTTGCTCCCGTAACAGAAATTTATGGTTGTACGGGTCATGAGTGTGACAAGACTGATGTGAGCCCACGAACACCTGGTTAAAATGTTTCCTCCTCCTGCATGACTTATTTTGTCACGTGTGAAAGATTGTGTTATGCATTTCAAACTTCTTTCAGCTTTTTTATGCTTACACATAGTATTACCATAATGGCAGGAATTTCTCAAAAAAGAACAAGAGCGTAAAGAGGCAGAACTATTTGCCGAGAAACAAGAAGCGTTACAAAAGAGAAGAGAAGAGAAACGTATCGCAAGAGAGGTGAGAACCTCGTAATTTGTTTTAACTCAGTGGTTTGTGTATCAGCTACTGTTTGTCATCTTTGATAATGCACTGCAGGAATTTCGCGCTCTGAAAAAAAGGATAACACAAACGTTTTTGTACTTGAATTTGTCATTTGAACATGGATGTGCGATATACAGACTTCTCTTGTCCCTTTGTTACAGCGAGAGCAAGAAAAACAACGACAATTAGAACATAACCGACAGCAGATTGCCATAGCAACCCAGCACTACACGTACGTCATCCTGAAAAAGTACGGCTTGTCACCTTGGAGACATCTCGTAGAGACGGCGCGGGAAAACTTGTCACGTGCAGTGTTACATCATAACAGAATGTTGCTTACCAGCTGTTTCCATCCGTGGTTGGATTTCACGGAAAAAGCGAATGAAGAGAGACTTAAGGCAGCTGAAGCATTGCACCAACATATTTTATTGAGAAGAACGTGGAGACAGTGGAGAAAGGTTAGAAAACAACAACCCAGGTTTTTTTCTCGGTTAAAAACTCGGTTAGATTGTTTAGTTTGAATTAAAGTATGCTTCGGTTGCACCTTTGGTCAGGACTACAATTAAACTACTGCTCTGTATGTTGCAGTTTGGCCAGCATGCTGTCAGGTTGCACTTGGTCGCCGAAGATTATTGTTCTTCGTACCTAGTGAAAAAATACTTCAGATATTGGCAGGATTATGTTACTGAGCAACAAATCCTGTTATGGGAAAAGGAGAAAGTAGCCGAGGAACACAATGAATGGTAAAAGCTCATCAAATACCTTATATTGATTTCTGATTGAACTTATGGATTAGTTTTGTGTCCGTTTCAGTTTTATGTTTGTTAATCTCTGTTGTAGTGGTTACTAGTCCTATTCTATTTTTTAACCGTGCGCGGCAGCGGATGGATGTCTTCCCACACTTTTTTCTTGACATGTGTGCCAACGGATCCTTGTTTTCCTGCGCTATTTTCAAGCGTCAGTAGCAATATCTTTGCTTTGAGCTGATGTTTCGGCTTCATTCTTAGGCGATTAAAGAAACTCGCGATGGTCTACTGGAAAAAGTACATACCAATGTTGAGATCAGAACGAGAAAAGGAAGTTAGGAGGGCGGATTTGAGGAAAAGAGTCCACTCATGGCTGCCTGATTTTCAGTCGTTAACGGAAACATCACCTTGATCACTTCAAGAGCTCCACGTGATCTCTCTCCAGACTTCCACATCTTTGTTCACGCAAAGCCAGGACCAAGACTTTTTCCTGATAGTCTGGCGGCGGGGCGCGAACTTGGATTCAAAGTCTCGCTCGAATTCTTTCTTTAATTAACAAACAATACATCTCCAAAAAAATATATCCAAGCGGTGTAATCGTTCATGAACGAATGGGAGTATTTAACTGTTCCTGTAGCCCTCAAATTTTTATTTGTTTATGGTCTTACTGTTAAATATTAAAAAATCGCGTTCTACTTTTGCGAACTGATGTATAGTTGGGTGGATGTACAAAACCCTCCATTTTATTAATCTCTAGCGGTGAAGATACCTTCTCTTATCGTTGCCATCATCAGAATTCCCATTACGACCCATTTAAACCCGAAAACGGTTTCCTAGGAAACATTTCGTTAGAAACCGCGTGCCGGTTAGCTCAATGGATAGAGCGCTGGACTGATGTGCGGGAGGTCGAGGGTTCGAGCCCCGGCCGGACCAACACTCAAGGTCTTAAAATAATTGAGAAGAATATGCTGCCTTTCTATAACATCAAGAAATGGTTTAGATATTCTAGTCTTCTCGGATAGGGATGAATAAATGGAGGTCCCGTCTCTTGCAGGGTTAGGGTTAGGAGACGTTAATTTCCCACGCACGAGATTACTGTGTGATGGATGTTCTCCCCTGGGGTGGGATGGGTGGGTGTTGTCTTGCGATTATATGAGCCTCTGGCTCGGGCAATATGGGCAACCTTGCCCCACGCAAAGACATTAAACTTGATTACAGGAATTACTTGATTACAGGAATGTACGATTAAATGATTTGCCTTCTAATGGTTGAGATAGAAATTACATGACATACATCTACGGGAAGTATTTACTCTGAACTTTAAATGTGTTTTATTTTATTTCTTCAATTCAATAACTACCAAGCGGTGATATCAAGTTTTTGGTCTTTTCTCTTCCTTTCCGCCACAATTTAAGCGTTGATTCCTTTTGTTCTTTCGGTTCTTTCTCTTCCCTCTGAGGTTTTCTATTCTCCATTTTTGGGCCTTTTTCGTTGAAATGTATGTTTATGTTTACTGGGTTTGAAATAGCAGCCCTTATGGTTTTCATTTGCGTTACCATGAAAGGTGACGAGTGTTTTAGTGGCGAGTTTATCGGAGTGAAGTCAGATTTCTTTGTACTTCTTTTCCGTGAAGGGACATATTGATTTCTAGGTGCCCTCCTTGTACCTTTGTATCCTCCGCTCTTGCTGTTGTCTGTCGCTTGAGCTCTATTGAAACAGCTCGCTATTACAAAAGGCGTAGGGTTGCATTTGAATTCCACGGGTTTCGAAAGCTCGTTGCACGGGAATTCGTCCACAAATAACTGGTCCTGGTACAGGTCATTCAGGCTTGGCAGGTTCGTACCCTCGCAACCGTTGTATGAGACGCTTTTGAGGTAAACCTTCAGCTTTCTTAGACGGCGCTCGTCTAAAGAATAATACGGTGATTTGTTGGTATAAAAAAACAAAACAAGGAATATGAGTCAATTTCTCATTTTGCTCGGTATTCTTGGCACCGGATGCCATTTCCCTTCCATTCATTTTGTCATTGGCCCACTCAGCCATTTCCGTAAACTTTAAGCTTAAATGCGCGCATGATTTATATGCTTTTTCTCTCTTCACACAGGATGCGAGTTAATCGCAAATGCTACTCCCAACTGTCCAACTCCTGCAGCCACATCCTGACTTTCTTTTGGGGGAGGGGGGGAAACAGAGTGGGGGCTTCAAATCTGTCGGTGTCGGAGGTGCAAATCGTTGTTTCACGGGGTATGTGATTCTGCACACTGAATGTGTGTGCAGCCCCCACTATCCCGTTACTTCATTGAAAATGCAGGGAGCCATGATCCCTGCTAAACGCAAAGCAACCCGAACAACGTTATGAATCAGCGAAAATGACCCCGGCATTCTAGCATATGAGTTTTGTGTTACAACGGTTTTGTGTGGCTCGACCACCCCATGCATGTGTTGACAGATAAGACAAACTATTTGAACAATAAGTTAAGAAAACAATGACGAAAATTTCAAATCTGTTTTTCCTTACACAGGCCTTCATAAAAAATATCGTTGTAACAAGAAATAAAGGGCGGTTAACACTAGAATTCTATAGCTGAGTAAGACCACAAAACAGTATCTTGCAATGAACTAACCTACAGCTGTTTGCTCAGCACTTGCTGAACCTTCTGTTACACTTGACGTCTTCGGCTTTCTACATTTTGTTTCTATGGTGTTTTCTGCCGCCGGAGTTGAATTCACTTTACCGGAACTTTGAAATTTCTTTCGTGTTCCTTTGACATTTCCTGGTTTCTTAGACTTTTTAGGACTTCCCTTAGCTACACGGAATATAAAGATGATTGTATAAAGTATAAATCACGTTATAGTCAGTTTTCCCTAGAGTTCACTTCAACAGAGATGAACCAAATCAAATCATTATGTGCAATGTTTGACAGATCTTTCAACTTACAAAGAGTTTTTCTCTTAGCGACTTTCCCACTTTTCATTTCACTTTGCTACAAAATCTTGGCAGTCAAAGTCATTTTTGTTCGACCGTTACTCTTGCTCGCGCCTCTCTGACGTTGCATTGTGCGACATTCGGGCTAGCGTGCAGTTCGCGCGTTTGTCCGCCAGCGGAGAACTGAAACTGATTTAATATCATAGATGACAAATTACTCCTTAATTTTGGCGCGAAATTTCAGCGATAATTTTTAATTTCACATGTGAAATTACAAAATTGCCATGGTAACATCTCTTGTATCTCGATCAGAGCCAAGATGGCGTCGAGATTTAAGACGGTGACCCTTGAAGAAGTTACAAAATTAAAAGAAGCGGCCGAAAATTATTAACAGGCACGAGGAATTCGAAAAGTATTTTTTGTGAAGAAACTCAGAAAATTACGAACTTTAACAATAATGTATGTTTAAACGGGAACTGTTTTCTCCTTCATGTTCTCGGTTTTCGATTTTAAACCAGTAAAAACAATTACGGTTGTGAACGTAATTTGTCACCCACGATATTAATAGGTAATCAAATGTATTTACATTCGGCGGAACTAAACTGTAAGTGGCAGTGACAAAGAATGTAAATATTTTCCTATTGGTATGTTAGCACGTGGGCCGCTATGGCGTTAATTGAGTCTTGTTGTACGTTGTATTTAAGGTTTGACATTTGTAATGTATTCATCTCAGCTCTCGAACTTTCCTAGTTTTATGTTAAATTTTATCTTGCATGTAATTAAGCTTTTTTACCTCTAACCCCCAGTGGTCAGTGCGCCTGCATTTGGATGGGGAATACGTTCCCATTTTTCCCATTGGGTTTTTGGGTTTTCGTATCAGGCGGCGGCACACTAAACGTTTTAGCCCGAGAGGTGATGACTAGTTCTTTACTATTCTGTGTAACTTTGTCAGACGGCATTATACTCGGGCTCCAAGTTCGAGCTGCACACCCACTCTTGTGTATGAGTCGTAGATTTAAATAGGAAATGGTTTTCTCGTGAATTTCTCTAATTTCACTCATCGCCATTTGATTACACATACGAATTATCTCCTCTATCGATCAATATCTTAACCTTTAGTTTATTCGAACGATGATTTCAAAACGTTTCAAATGTTAATCGAAAATGATTTATCTGAGTGGCCACAAGATAACCCCTATATCAAAAAATGACTAGATGTTGCATCTATTCCATCCAGCAGTCCAGTCCCTCCATAAATTTACCTCCCTTTCAAGTCGGCGCGAAGATTGACCAATCACAGCGCTTGACCTCTTGGCGGGCAAATTTGCTTTGTTTTTGGCTCCTCGCGCGGTAACATAATTTCATTCACTGCTTGCTTCGTTGAAAGAAGAACTCTTACAAGCTTTTCAGGCTAAGAACTCTGTAATTTGCCCATAATTATGTCAGTGATGAAGGATATAACCAATTTAAGCTCAAACTTGACAGCAAGCGGCCACGAAAGCTCTCCGGAGAGGGACATCTTCGTTTCTTTGGCCTCTCCAAGCTCGAGAAAGAGAACCGCGAAACATGTGCAAGAGAGCATGCAGAGATTTCTACAAAAGTCCGAAACCCTTGGAAGTACCAGCAATGAGGACGAAATCAGCGAAGGTGAAGCAGATGGTGGAGTAAATTCAGTGTTTATGACTCCCGAAACACCAAACGAAGGCCCTCCAAAAGTGAGCAAACCGAAACGAAAGAAGCTTCGTCTTGGAGGAAGCCCTCGTAGCGGGAGTCAGTCGCCCGCTTTATCTGTGACTCTTAACGGACTAACCAAGGCTCAACTGATCGGTTTATTGGAAACTCTAGTGGCAGAAAGACATCCAGATCTTGAACAGGTAAACTATAATTTGAAAATAAATTCTTTGAACTTGATGCGGGTCGCACACCGAAACAAGGACGCCATTTTTAAACAATTGGGACGCACATTTTATTGTTATGTTGATTTGATTTTTAAATGTTGTTCCAGCTAATGAACCTTTTCCCTCGAAAGGAATTACGAAGCCTTATCCCTGAACCAGACCTAACAGAATTTGAAGAAAAGCTGAAGCGCTTGCAAAGAAACATTTACAAATCCTTCCCGTACACTCGTTATGGCTCGTCGCGAGATGCTTTTTGTTATCGCCGAGTGAACACGCATCTTACCACTTTCAAGGTGAGTATTTGCGATGCATGGACCACTGCTATTGCCAACTCTACACTATTATTCCAGCGACGCAATTTTTACTTGAGCGACAAAGCGTTTTCCTGTTGAACGTGGAAACCAATGCTTGATATTTTCGCCGCGAGGTAATATATTTTGATATGTCTTGGTGTCTGCCTGAGGGGGGTAGTGGTGTTAGTTTTGTCTGTTGTGTTTGTGTCAAAGGTGCGGGTACTTAAATAACAGTCTTTCTCGAAAAGTTTGCTATTTTCTAGTGCAGCCTTTCAGGGGTTCCACTGGGACAGAACACAACTATTAAATCTTACTTTCACCAAGCCTATATCTAACCATCCCTACACACCACACTTTCAGCACTGCTGAGCCTTTACAAACCTACTGGTGGTGTATTATCTAGCTTACAAGCAACTTCCATTTATCAAAAGTAGCTCAGTTTGATAAATGTGGAAGTCTTCAAATCCTTGTGAAGAACTCAAATAATTTTTCTTTGTCTTGTGCTAAACAATCTTTGCTTTTTGACAAAAGAGAAGAAGATTTAACTCATTTCTTGGAATAAATTATTACAGAAAGAATGTGTTGCCCAAGGCCAGATTTTACTCAACTCACAGCTTTGGGAATCAACTTTGAACTATGTTCTGATGGCCTGGGATTATGTTGAGGGAATGCCAGACTGGGACAATCCAGCACACAACAAAAGCAAAGAACAGTGCTTTCAAGCCCTGGCGGTCCAGTGTAAAAAATCTCTCATGAAACTAAAGAGCAGCCTCTCAGAAGACAAATGTTCAGGTCTGCTTGAAAGGTAAGCCTTAGAATGCATGTTATACCTCAGCTTTAAGAAACTTTAGCACCTTTGTTTTATCTTTGCCCATTTTGAGTTTTAGTAAGTACTCTCAAACATGTTACGGCCCCTTGTTTGGAGGATAAATAGCAAAATTATCCTGTTTGATGAGTGTTACAAAAATGTTGTGTTCTTCTTTAAAAGAAGCAAACTTTATCAGTAGCATAACATCATTCATGTTATAAACAACCAGAGCAAGATTTGAAACATTTTTTTTTAAATATTTGAAAATTTATATGGAATATACACAAGGATAACCAGGTCTGCTTTCTTTTACTGCAAAAGATGTAGCACCAACTTCTCGTGGCTGAAATTACTTTAAATATATAGAGGATTGTGAGGGGGAATTAATTTTGAGGACTTGAAGTGAAAAAAGATACTTCTAAGAGCCAATTAAAATGTATCTTCTTAACGGTTTAACTGCTATTAGTGACCAAGACAGAATTTCTCCAATACAAAGTTTCAATACAATATTGAGCAGATAAGTGATGCTTATAGAAAAAAAATATGATTTACTGGTTTACTGTTGGTTCCCACATTCCTTGAAAGTCCTTGAATTTGAGTTTTTGTTTTTAAGGACTTGAAAACCCTTGAATTTAGACTCGGGTCCTTGAAAATAAGTGCAGATGAGTTAAAGTTTTGTTTTCGGTGTTGAAAGTGTGAGTTTCTAGCACAAATTGCAAAAACAATTTTTCCCTTCAAATCCCGCATCTAGTAATGATGTTTGATTTTTATATATTTTGTACCTGATTGGTGCATTGAAAATAACCTTGGTTACCTAGCTATTTATAGCTCCTATTTTAATGCAAAAGGTACTTGAATTTGAGAGCCAAGCTCCTTGAAAATGACCTAAAAAGTTCTTGAAAGTCCTTGAATTGGGTTCCTGAAAGAGTGCAAGAACCCTGTCATTAGTTGATCCAATGCCAATTTCTTAAAACTAACTTTGCTATAACTGTATGGCAGATTAGAAGAGAGAATTACTGATGAGATCTTGATAGTGAAAGGGTTAGAATTGTGATACTTCATCCTAAGGACATGTGATAGTTAAACAAACTTGGCAGAAAGCTGTTGCTACCCAGACAAAAAACTTAATTCTCTAAAGTGATATACAATGAAGTGTATAGAAGGTGGATGGGAGAATTAGAAGAAGATATCAGGAGTTAAAGGGCCAAGCAAGGGCGGGAATTGAACTTTTGTTAAGATTTAAACTATAGAACTTTGTTTGCCATCATAGAATACTTTTGAAACAGTTAGCATTACTTGAATATCTTTTTCTCTTGCAGGATGAAAACTGCCAGTGAGCTAAATAACCAAATACAGCCTTGTGTTGACCAGCTAACTATAATGAAGTCAAAATTTTAGATACAATTGACATAATTAAAATCTCCATTTTTATTCCTTTTGAAATTAAGATGTCAGTTTTGTATGGAATTTTGGTATCTGTGTCCAGAACTTAATGAAAAAAAATTGGGTGTTTAGGAGATGCTGTACTTTGCATACTGGTTCCTGTTTGTATTTGATGTATTGATAGAAAATTTTATATTTTTATTATAAAGAAAGTGATGGAGTACTTTTGTAAATTTTCATGCTGAGTGTGGCTTTAAGTATTGTAAAAAATATGAAATAAACAATCTTGAAATGATCAGAAAACACAGATTTGCTGTCTGTTTAGTGAGGGTGTGTAATTATAACCTAATTGTTGAGTAACAGTGGTACAATTAACTCTGTCTCTTTGATTGGACTGCACTGGGAAAAAGATATAAGAATTGGAAAGCAAGTGTGGATGTTTTGATTGTTTTTGCTTATTTGCTGCAAGCACTTGATTTCTGGTTAAAATGTTTCCAGCAAGTTGTCCTTCATTTCACTTTTGTACTGGTAAAATTTCTTTTAAGGATTGTAAGAACTTTCTTTATCCTGGCATGTTGAGTCATGATATTGTAGGAACAACTGTATCTTGCACTCCAGCTACAGAGTGTTTGTTATTCAATGTGGTTTCATTGGGGAAAAAAATGTTCTTAAATTTTGTAGAAAAAAAATTAGCTGCCAATCTGCTGTCATACTTAAGCTGAAAAATATCAAATGAAAATTTTCATTTCTGCAGAATTTTGCCGTGTTCGCACACACACTTAATTTCACATCATAAAAACTAAAAGATGAATAAACTTCAAGATCTAACCTTCCGTATGATATAAAACTCGTTAGATTTGATTGCGAATCGTGTTCATGAGAACGGAACTCGTGTTAAACCTCATGTCGACATTCTTTGTGCTTGAAACAAAGGGTTTAGCAAACAAAGAAAGGACGCCAAAGTCTGTTTGAAGGAAACTATTAACTATGGTTTGCGTAAACTTCGGTGTATTTGTATGTGCTTTTAATTTCGCAATAAACTTCGACTTTTATATGATTTAAGATTCATACGATTTCATTCATATCGGTGGGAATAACTTATCTCGCGCGGCGCATATCACTCGCTAACTGATCATAATGTTAGTGATATCTGTTATAGAACGTTTACACCCATTATTAGGATTTTGCTTGTTTTGTTATATTTCGCATGATTAGCGGCGCACTAAGTGAGTTATTGGTTCTTTACCTCTAATAGAGACCGGTAGAATGTAACCGGAAATATTGACAAAGAATGCGTAGAACGATCGACAAACAATGATGTAATTAACTAGATAATTGCTAGTGAAACCGCTTGTTAAGATTAACCATAATAAGATTTGTCTAACAGAACCATGCAACAGGAATTAGTGGGATCAACCGATTAGGAAATTAATAGACAACTAAGCCCTATCCGACCACACGGGACCTACGTATCTGGCTGTGGATATCTGTAGCCAGTAAAAGTGGCATTTGTGATCCTAAGTTAGTTAGATCGTAGGGCGGAACGTGAATGTTGTGAGCTGAAGAATAAAAGCCAACTTAAAAGAGAGTATACAGTCCTCGTTTGTTGAACCAGCGTGTGCGGAGAGCAAATTCCGCGAAAATATCAACATGTTTTATTTCGTTTAACATTCCATTATAGAGACGCTACACCTAACTTCTGAGCCCCTTTCCCTTTTCGCAGTATACTGTTACATCTTAGCTTTCATTTGTTTCACACGGGAGGCTACACATAACGTTCAAGGCAAATCGCCAACGGTGGCGATTTCACTTTGAGTGCTAGCAAATTTGTTGTGGTGGCGAATTGACTGGATACCCTCTACGGTTATTTCGAATAAATAAAATCGGCCAATAATTGTTCAGTTCCCTGGAGGTGAAGCCGATACAAATGGATGGGATCCACTTGTTTGGCAAACAATCAACACTTAAAATTTTTCTAAATTAGCCGCACCAGCGTAGATGAAAACGTACCCCGATAATCTTGCTATTAACCCAGGCAACGCCGTGACCGCTCTGAGCAACCATGACGATGGGGACTTCCGACTCAGGAAATTCGTTGTCCAGGAAGTCTGCAGAAAGCGTCGGCAAGTCCGACGGAATAAGCTCCGGGAATAAGCTCCGGGTCCCAACCAAAGAACAACGCCTATGGCAGAGAAGAGGTTTCTTCGCGGTTTTCGAGGTTGCTAATGGTCTCCTTCACTTTTTTTCTTTACTTCGTTATACGATTTGTCCTTATAGCCATCAATGAAAGTGAACATTGTCTTAAACGTAACAGACAATATAGCATGCGTGTGCGGCTCTATGAAGCCCGGAAGAAGGGTCTGCTGATTCAGGTAGATAACTTGCGTCGACTCACCCGCTAAGGCAAACATCTCATCTAATTTCCCTACAGCTGTAATGAGGTTTCCTTCGACGGCCAGAGCCTCGGCAGAAGGGTTACTTTCATCCATAGTGATTATATCACCACCAAAGAAGATATAGTCAGCTACAGAAGACATTTTTAAGCGAGCGTTTCAAACGAATTCTTTTAACTGTGGTGGGAGTGTGAAATGGGTGGGAGTGGTGCACCCACGTGTCGATTTACATGATAAGCTGAATAACTTACGCAGTTTCATTGGTTCTTACCGATGATCTATGGGAGGACAAAAGTCAACAATTCTTTACTATGTAAGAAAATAGATCATTCCATGTTTCCATGGGTCTGTACAATAATAAAACACAGAGGACGTCAAAATGTGGTCAGAACATCAGCGACACGTGTTATGATATGCTTGTTACCAGGCTGCCAGCCTTTGTATATAGTGCCTCGTGTTGATGTACTAAATTAGTTCAGTGTACAGAACAGCCATCTTGGATTACGTTCACGGGCTTGCGAGTGATTTGGAGAACGTAACAACTCGCTCGGCTGCGCCTCGTTTCCCACTTCTTTGTTCTTACCACATTTTGGCGTCATCTGCAATTTACTGCTGAACAGACGCGCGTATCCAGTTGTGAAACCAAGAATACGATACCGAAGTCGGATCGAAAAAGAAAAAAATAATCATGGCAGGGATACTTCGTCTCTCAAAAGACCCGAAAACTTTTTGGGACTCTTTTTGGGTGCAGTTTTTCGGGTTCCGAACTGCGTAAATTTTAAAGACAAAAAATCAGCAGCCACCCTGCTGTCCTACTTAGGCTGCATAATCTGAAATGAAGAAATTATCATTCCTTTGCTGGGCAGCATTCTCTCTTAACTGCTAAAATCTACTGACCACAATCTTTAGACTGCTTAACCGCTTTATTATTTTATGGTAAAAACTAAAAAATTGCAAAGAAACTATTAAAGCCAATAAACTCAACTAAATGCAAATGCACCGCTTTCACATTTTCAAATGCAAGACACTATCCATAAAATGCATTATGATGAATCAAATATCTCTGCATATGTGTGGTTTGCCTAAATCTACACTAGAAGCGAAAAGGCGAACAAATATTTCAAGACAAGTAAATTTTAAAGTAAAGTAAAGTAAAGTAAAGTAAAGCAAACTTTATTTACACAGGGTAGCCCATTCAGCTCTAAGGCTGGTATCCATAGGGGCCCTGTATTGAAAATAATTTACATCAAATTTCTAGAATAGATATATATGTATATATAATGACTAAGATTTTACAACTACATTAACAGCCTAAAACTACAAAGCTAAAACACAATTAAAACATAACATAGTAAATAAAATATCAAAATTATCAAAATTACGGTAAAAGGAAATGTTTTGCTCGGCGACAGAACGTTTGAATGTTTTCACTCTTCACAATGTTTAAAGGAAGTTTATTAAAAATTTCTGCGCCAGTAAAAAGAAAGGTCCTTCTCCCAAAATTCTGTTTTACTTTTGGTAGGGATAGCCTCAGACTTTGCCTCGTGGAATAATTGTGAATATTCGAAAATCTGGTAAAATATGATGAAAAGTAACTAGGAACTAATGAGTGGAGACAGAGAAAAACGAGTTTAGCCTTGTGGTAATAGCGTCTACTGGAAAGAGTCGGCCATTGCAGCTGATCTATTGCTTCAGATGACCGAGAGCAACGTGTAATAATCCGTGCAGATCTATTTTGTAAGCGCTGTAGTCGATCTATATCTTGTTGTAAAAGGTTACTCCAGGCAATGTCACAGTAATCAAATAAGGGAAGAATTAAGGTATTATGAACAAGTATTGCTGCCTCTTTTGTGACGAAACTTCTAATGCGGCCCAGAATACTAACTCTTGACGCCACCTTTTTACACATATAGTCTGCGTGAGCCTTCCAAGTCATAAAATTGTCGAACACCACGCCTAGGTATTTAAAAGTAGTTTCGCAAGAAATGAGCTTTCCGATAAGATTAAGATTTAAAATACAATCGCGCTCTTTATGCCTTCGAGATGTAAATAGTACACACTTAGTTTTTGAAACATTGAGAACAAGATTGTTGTCTTCTAGCCATTCAGATAGACATTGAAGATCTTGATTAAAGTAAAAAGTTAAATTGTCTACTGTTGGGCCAGCAAGATATAAAACTGTGTCGTCAGCGTACATATTTACAGAACAGTGTTTGACACAACGTGGTAAATCATTAATGTAGACAATGAATAACAGGGGTCCGAGGATGGACCCTTGTGGCACTCCAGAAGTTATAGCAAGCTCTTCAGATGAATGAGAATCAATTTGCACGAACTGCTTTCTTCCCGTAAAGTAGTCCTTAAACCATAGAAGGCTTTCCTCGCATATACCATAGTACTCTAATTTTCTGAGCAAAATGTCATGGTCAACTGTGTCGAAAGCCTTTGCCAGGTCAATAAACACAGAACCAGTAACAAGGCCCTTATCCATATTCAGGAGAATCTCGTCGGCGAAATAAGTTACAGCCGTCTCAGTTGAGTGCATTCTTCTAAAACCGGACTGTAATTTACAGAGCAAGTTATGATCATCAAAAAAACTTGCAAGCTGCTTGTGGATTAAACGCTCTAGGACTTTAGATACCACTGGTAATACCGATATGGGGCGGTAGTTTCTTGGGTCATCTTTTGAACCTGATTTATGTAAAGGGGTCACCTTCGCTTTTTTCCATTCTGCAGGGATAACGTTTTGTTGGATAGTTAAATTAAAAATGAGCGATAGTGGATAGGCCAGGGCGTCTGATCCGTCTTTTAGTAGACGAGATGGAATACCATCAACACCTGTAGCTTTCTTCGGTTTTAAATCTTTAAGAGCCTTTCTAACTTCCGTCACGGTGATCTTTCGTAGATTAAATTTTTCTGGGCGGACAATTTGCGGTAGCCATTTGGAAAAGGATCGCGCGGTTGATCGGTGGATCGACCTTAAATCTTCGGCACAAGAGACAAAGAAGCTATTGAAGGTGTTACACTTGTCTTTTGCTTCATTAGCTGTACGAGCAGTAGCGCTGCTACTCTTTGAGCCATTTCCGAGTAGCCGTTTTAGGTTTTTCCAGGTCCCACGGGAATCTCCTCTTGTCTCCTGGAACAGTTCGTTGTAATATCTTTCTTTCTCTTTTCTGAGCTTCAAAGTCACAACATTGCGTAAGCGCTTGTAAGAGCTCCAATGAAGCTCATTGTTTGACCTCAATGCCAGATTATGAAAGCGGTCTCTTTCATTTATTAGATGTTTTACCTCACGTGTCAGCCATGGTACTTTATTTCCCCTGACTCGCACGCGGATTCTTGGGGCATGGGTGTCGGCTACTTCACAAAAAAGGTGTTTAAATGAGTCCCATGCGTCCTCAACATCTGCGAAGGAATTTATCAATGACCATGGAACTTTATTTAGATCTTCAATGAAAGCATCACGATTAAAACGCTTGAAATTCCGGGTATCAATTATCCTCGGGGGAGGCGGTTTCAAACGATGTAATTTACGGACGGCATATGTTGCGGAGTGATCACTAAAGCCAACTGGTATTACCCCGGAGACATATAGATCCGGACGACTGGTAAAAAATAAATCGATCAGGGTCTTTGAATTTTCAGTTATGCGAGTGAAATTGTCAATAATCTGCCGCAGACTAAACTCTTTCGCCATGTTCATAAAGCGCTTCGTAGATGCAGGTTTATTCGACTGTTTCAGGTCGAAATTCAGATCCCCGGTAATGACAATTTCCTTTTCCCGATCAGCCATTACTGTTAACATATTTCTCAAGCCCTCAACGTAAGTTGCAACGTTGTCCGCATTCGGTGGGCGGTAGCAGGAACAGAAAATAAAACCTTTAGATTTTGGAGGTGTTATTTCCATCCAAAGGCATTGAATATCCGGTTGATCATTTTCAAATTCTTGAATAACTTTGTAATTGAGGTTCGAGGAAATGTAAATGAGAACACCACCATTTCGGCGAGTTTTATCTCTTCGTACAAGTGAGTAGCCGGGAAGCTGAATTTCACTGTCACTGATTGATGAATCTAGCCAAGTTTCGTTTAGGGACAGAACGTGCGGTAGGTGGGTCTCACAAAAAACTCGGATCTCATCCATCTTGTTGACAAGACTTCGCACATTCAAATTACAAATTCTTAAGCCTTTTACCGTACTCAACTTGAAGTTTCCACTTTGAGAAGTTGATTTTGGACCAGGGTTTCGCTCAACATTGCCACTGGACAAGAGTAGCGATAAGCATAGGCAATAGGCCAAAGTAGAGGTGGTGTGCTTTGAGAGTTTGACTTTATGGTTGCCCGCCATATCGACTGCTCGAGCTGCAAACTCATTCAGCGCAGTTTGAGCTATTTTTGCCTTGAAGTCGCTTTTCCAGCGCTCGTTTAATCCTTCCAAAGGTTCTTCACCGAGCAGACTGCCATGTCGAAATATTTTATGCCGGTTTACCGGCAAAATAAAGCAAAGAAGGTGAAATAAGTAAAGAGCTGCCGAGATGCCAACCAACACCTCGTATTGAGACTTGGAGAGCATGCCTAGTAAAAGGAGAGGAAGAGGGGAAAAACATGCAAAGGCTAATAAAAACAACGAAAAATAGCAATAGGTTAAAAAATGATTTGTAACAAACACCAGTTTTGTCGTTACATTTCATTAGTGACATCCTAGCTAATTAACAAAGGGCATTGGCCTTCGGTTGCTTAAAGAAATAGGCCTTAAACCTCTGTTTCGAAACCAGGGAACTTGCACAGTATTTCGTATTCTCGTAAACTGAAATCCAATTTCAAAATAAAGGTTTCGCACCAACTTTACCTGAGGCTCGTGATGGACGCATGGTCGAAGGTCACGGCTTCTAGAGACTTCATTTAACCAAAACCTTTCAAGCAAAGAATGCAAATTGGTCCCAGCTACGGTATGGGCCACTTCAAGTTAAACAAAACCGTTCAAGCAAAGAATGCAAATTGGTCCCAGCTACACCATGATAAAACTGTTTTTAGCTCTTCATCTTCACCGACTCACAATCCCAAACACGCTCAGACAAAGTAAGTTGTTAACATTTATTTCCTTTAATTCAGATTTTGTAATAAGATATATATTTGCACAAATCAAGATAGAGTTTGTTTTATCCTCACAGCACAGCTGAAGGTGAGCCAACCGAATACAATTTAAAGATGCCAAAGTCTAGCCTTTTCATGTGCTCTTTTCTTGTCTTCATGTTCATTATCATTTATCATCTTCACACAATGAAGATATTTGAGATTTCGCTCAAAATACCAGCGCCTCGGCAACTTACAGAACTAGAAAAACTATTCAAACTGCGGAATAATTTAAGCGTCATAACATCTGACAAAGCATTATTGGCAAGAAGTATTCAAGCTGGTAAGTCTGATGGCTTCAGGCATGTTTTGATGAAAGCTTTACGAGGAGAAAACGTCAGCATGTTAGTGATCGGAGGTTCTCATAGCGCAGGAGGAAAACTGGGACTTGACGAGAACAGCCGGGATGGATTGTATTACAAAGTATTCCAAAATTGGTGGAACGAAACTTTTGGTAGATTTACAAAATCTTTTCTGAATGTAACTGCGCTGACAATTGGAGATACGTCAAGCTATTTCTTCGCGTTTTGCTATAGAACTTTCATTCCCGAAGGCACAAGCTTCGATATTGTGTTGATAGAAATGTCAGCTAATGATAAAGGATTTGCATCAGCAAAACCACTGGAACAACTGACGCGGCAAGCTCTAATATATCCCTCGGCACCAGTGGTCTTCTACATAAACGTTGTCCATGATTTCGGAATTAATCCTTATACTAAAACAGTAGAAAATCCATCTTGTGTTACTCTCGAAGACTTTGGCCAGGCAGAACTTGCCCGTCATTACGATATCACATCATTCAACTTAAGGGAAATAATTTGTAGAAAAGAGAAAGGTCGATGGAAAGTAGTATACTCAAGTATGGCAGGCTCAGATGGTAAGCATATTGGCGTCAAGGCGCATGCTCAAATTGCTTACATGATGACTGAATACGTGAAAAACATTTACCAAAAGATTGCTTACAACGTTACGAGAATACTTCCTTTTTCTATCACTCGTGTCAGGGGCAAACGCAAAAGCTTCACTCTACCGAGTTTATTTTTCATAAAGCGGGAAACTGAAGCGTTAAAAGAGCCACTCTGTTGGACGGGGAAAACGCCAAATGTATTTGAGAAGCTTCACCGCTCTAATCTAAAATTTGAAATTAGAGAGAAAGCTGGCTTTTCGCCATGCTTCCAAATGTACAAACAAAAATGGAATGTTAAAAGGGTCGGTGCAGAACTTCGCACTGATTCTAAAGGGGGATGGTGTGCTTGGAGAAGCTCTAGCATCCTCAAGCTAAAGATCTACGTTCCTCGGATTGTTGGTGACAATTCGTTTCGCACTCGGTCAGTTACAATTTTGACAATACATAAAGAAGGTAGGGCTGCAATATGGTTAGACAACAACAAAAACAGAACTGTTAAAACAAAGGCGACTAAGCTTAGAAAGAATCAAGTCGACACGATTGGACGTGGATTGGAGCCAGGTTACCACACAATTACAGTTAAAGCATTATCCAACGCATTGTTTTGTGTAGCTGGAGTGTTTGTTGGTGCTCCTGACTATCATTTGGTGTAGACTTATGTTCCGATGCTTGGTAATAAGTAAAGAAAAGTACGTGATAATCGTAATGGTCAAAACTATAACAGAATTCTCGAAGGGGATTGAAATTTGGCGTTCTATTAAGTACGCAAGCATACAAGCTATGCAGTGTTGTGAAAGAGCAGGAAATTACATAACGTACCGTAAAGCCTGTCGAATCTGGCGACTTTAGAGGCGAGCTTGGCAACCACCATGACTTGAAAAAAAGTGAAAAGGTCTTCGCAGTTCAGTTAGAGGGAGACTTTAAGATTCACTATGTTCCGGTTTTGTCCTATGCGGCTTTTTCTACAGCGTGCTTTGTTGGTGTTGTAAAAGCCTGGTGCGTAGGAGAACGAAATTATTGATTTAATCTTCTATCGTATAGTCTGGCCATTTTTGTCCTTGTCAGAAGTAAATTAGACTCATCTTAGAAGGAAAAAATTTCATAATATGCTAGTGAGACTGCGGGAAAGGATTTCAGTGAAACAAGGGTCACGAACTTTATCGACGAATTATTTGATGAAGGAATTCGAACATAACGATGTGTTTGCGAATACCCATTACACCGTAACGACAAGCTTTAGAACGACTTAAGAAAAAGAAAAACTGAACCTAGACTCGGCTTCGCATCAAGGTGTAAAAAGTTGACAAACGATGACCCTATAATTGCTTTATTCCTATGATCCACACACACAACTGAAGACATCAAAAAGGTGTGTTTTATTCTTGCGTGTATTGTGGATATGCTGCGGTATTCAAGGCCCCCAGGCGAACCTTATCAGTGACAATAATATAACCTTAATGACAAGTTTTCAAGTCTTGCAGAATAAGGCTGCTAAAATAATTTTGGACAGACCTTTTAATTCATCTGCTACGCATGCGCTTGCCACTCTTAAGTAGGTTCCATTAGAAAAAAGGCGTTTTCAGAGAAGCTGTATTTATGTGTATTTAAGTGTTTAAGTGTTTAAATGGACTTGTTGGGCATGGTATGAACTTCATAAGATAGCATGAACAACATGATTATAATACCAGAACTAAGCTAAATCTCAGACTTTCAAGTATCAAGGGGAATTGGAGTAAACAACGGACAACATTTCATGCCATCTAGGATTTTATTTCTCTTAGGCAGGCAATCAGGCAATCCGTTAATCTTGATATTTTTAAACGTAATCCTTTAATATTGTGACTTAAATAAATTTCATTTCTGTGATCCAAATGAATTTAAGTTAATGTGGTGTTTCTTCTTTTATTTTTTTACATATTTTTAATTTTAATGTGCGAATTGTTTTTTTGTCTTTTGTATTTTTTTTGGAGATGCTTGTTGAAAACCATATTTTACGGTCGCCCATTAGGGACAGCGCTACAAACCTAAAAAACACCCAAAGTACAAAAATATACTACTGCAAACTAAATCAAATATACTACGAATAGAATTAAACCATTAACGCCAGTGAAACATCAAATGCACTTTTCACAATAAAGTGAAACGCTACACACCGAATTAAAAAAAGTTAACGGTACACTGCAAATGAAAGCACAACGCACACCCCAAATCAAGGGAAAAAACTCACTGCAAACAAAAAGCTAAGGCACGCCGCAAATGAAAGGGACATAATCTATGCGTGCGCATTTGCGCGTCAAGGCCTGAGACCTAGTGGTAAGCACGCTTTTATCGAAAGAAAACAAAATGGCGTCCGTCGACGAACTTGAGCAGCTCCAGCGAAGACGAGTCGGCTGACACAACTTTAAACGACGACTAACCTCGTGGGTCTGAGCGAGATATAATTGAATATTACTTTTACAGAGGTCTTACGTATAGGTATATTACTCTGATGTTGGAAAAGCAACATAATATCTTCATGAATCAGCGAAGTCTCAAGCGAAGGCTGAAAGATTATGAAATTAATAGACGTGAAACAGTAGATGAGGAGCTCAAGGAACGTGTCAGGGATCTTATTTTACAAGAAATATGCACTGGTCCTAATAGCCTCAATGTCTACAGGACTATGTGGCATGTCTTGCGCGTAAGACACCGGATTAATGTTCCTCGGCGATTAGTAGAGTCACTCTTAAGAGAGGTTGATCCTAGAGGAGTGGAACATAGAAAGAGCCGTTGTCTTCAGCGCAGAACGTATGTGTCACCTGGACCCAACTTTTGTTGGCACATAGACGGGTACGATAAACTGAAGCTTTATGGCTTTTCTATTCACGGCTATGTAGACGGATTTAGTTGAAGAATTCTTTGGCTTGAGGTGCAACCATCGAACAAAAATCCAAGGTGTGTTACAAGCTATTTTGTAAAGCACGTCAAAGCAGCACATGGATGCCCAGTACGTGTATACACTGACCCTGGCACTGAAAATGGTCTGATTGTCGGAATCCAGTGCTACTTGAGAGCTGAGGGATTGGATGAATACGCAGGATCAAAGTCCCACAAACACCTATCAAGCAATAAGAATCAGCATATTGAATGTCAATGGTCACATTACAGGAAACAACGTTCAAGTTGGTGGATCGACTTCTTTAATGACCTTCACGAGTCTGACATTCTTGATCTGACTAGTGACTTGCACAAAGAGGCAATTTGGTTTTGTTTTGCTGATTTGCTGCAGACTGATCTGGATAAGGTAAAGGAATACTGGAACAGTCACCGGATCAGGAAGTCAAAGCATGCCACTGTATCCGGTGTTCCCGACATGATGTACTTCCTGCCCGAGGATTTTGGACACAGCGACTGCTTGGCTTCAATATCGCCACACAAGCTCACGGAAATGGAAAATAGGTTTGACGGGTTCGATGTTGAGGATGATGAGTGCAATCCAGTTTTCCCCGAGTATTTTCAATACGTCATAGACAATAATGGCTTATCCCACCCCACAAGCATTCATAGGGCTGGAGTCCAAATTGAGAAGCTTATCAAGTTTGCAAAAGGTTAGCTATAAATTTCTTTCCTTTTGTAAGCTGGGAAGTCGCTTCCACAGGTTGTCCTGTGTTGAATGGCAGGAGGCATTAACAGTACTTCATGCACCTCTACCACAGGTGGCCCAACTTTGATATAATTTTCTCGCACATAGAAACAGTAAAAGGGGAGGCCAGCCTCTTGGGTGGCATATGGGTATCATTCCTGTGTCCAATTGTTATGAAAGCAAGTTGGTGTGCGTTTACTTGCGCCAATACGTTACTTGTTTGAGATATACTGCGAATGTTGAACCAAACCATCTCCAATGACAAATGTATGTCTTCCAAAGAAACAGGCAGCTAAAAAGTCACTTAATTTTAATTATATATTTTTTCACCCAATATCACTAGTTAACAGCAGTATGTTTGACTAAAAATAGCTTTTACTGACATTTTTTAATGAACTTTTGTCCTTCCAAGATGTTTTCACTGGTTACAACATACAGAATTTCAGCAATATTTTTTGGGGGCACAATACCATTAATCAATAAAGTCCCAGTTTCCCCAGTTGGGGGGACTTGGCAGCCATGTTTTATTGTTTTAAACTTGTACAAGCACTGATTGAATGAGAAAAAAAATTCCATCATACGGAGTCCTTACAACTATTTTTTTCTTTCTTGTCTCGCTTAGTTCAACCTCGGGAGATGCCTCTCAACAACAACATTTTATTTCAACAATAACTGGTATTTTAAGAGTCAAAGTCATCTTTTGAGCTTATCAAGGCTGAGGAATAAAAATTGCACAAAATGTTATTCTGATATAAAATTGGCTTAATTTACTCAGATCAGTATCACTTACAAGGTAAATGAGGTTATTAAAAATAATTTATAACTTCTTAAGGTTGGTTGGTTGGCACTTAAGTTTGAGAATTGAACAAAAAAAAAAAACATGATAAAAATAAACCAGAAGAGGTAAGACAATGACAATTCTTAAAAAAAAGACTGAGAAATCCTGGGAGACGTAAGGACATTTTCTGGAACCATGCAAATGAACGTCCAAGCTTTAATATGTTTGTTCTCACAGGTGAGGTGGTGTCTCAACTCCCTTCCCTTTCTCCCGGCGATGATGATTTCACCCATATATAATTGCCAGAGCCTCGGCATAAGGGTCCTTGTCACACATAGTGATGATATCACCGCCATAGAAGATAAAATCGGCTTTGGTACTCATGCTACAAAGTGTTTGCTTGGAAGTTTCTCTAAGCTAGAGGTAAGCTTGATTCGTGGAGCAAAGATTGCGTGGTCAGTTGACTAATGGTTGCGTGACAAGTAGAGCTCTCGGGTCGCGATCTCGCATCTCGTGCTCACGCAAAAAAAAAATCAAAAAGACTTACGCTGTCACGCAGAAACTATTATTTCTCACGCATCTCAGGTTTCTGATTTTTAACTATTGATTGTGAGTTAGCAAACTGCTACTTTAGTTACGTACCTGTAAAAATTAGTTTTCCTTCCCAGAATTATTTACTTTCTTTTCCCTTCGTACTTGATTGGAACACTTTTAATCCTTAACTCCCAGGAGTGACCATGCAAGAGAGAATTTCTCCTTACCGCATCAATACAATATCAAGCAGACAAGTTATGAGAATAAAGAAAAAATATAAATGAGGGGGTTATTGGTTGATCCAATACCAAATTCTCCAAACTAACACCAAAAGAATTGTATAGCAGACAGTAAAGAGAATTATGAATGAGATCAGTCTTGGGAATAAAGGGTTACCAGTGGTAATTCTCGCCCAGAATGCATCTCTCAGCTACTCGCCTCCCGGTTAGCTCAATTGATAGAGCGCTGGACTGTTGTGCGGGAGGTCGAGGGTTCGAGCCCCGGCCGGACCAACACTCAAGGTCTTAAAACAAGTGAGAAGAATATGCTACCTTTCTATATCAAGAAATGGTTAGATACTCTAGTCTTCTCGGATAGGGACGAATAAATGGAGGTCCCGTCTCCTGCAGGGTTAGGGGTAGGAGACGTTAAATTCCCACGCACGAGATTACTGTGTGATGGATGTCCTCCCCTGGGGTGGTTGCTGGGTGGGAATTGGCCCTGAAAAGCCCCCATGAGAAGTGGTCAATTAAAATATGTATATATGTATGTATGTACTCCATCTTTCCATCATTTTTCGGGGAAGCCTGCCCGAATTTCTTCCCCCCCCCCCAAAAGGAGGGGGGGGGAGAAATGGGGGCACTAGGCGATGAGGCTTGTCCACAGTTTTGTTGAGTTCTTACCGAATCAGGAGTAGAGAATTTCGACAGTGTCACTTCTGTCGCAGAGGGTTTAATCGTTTAGGACGCGGCTCTCTGTTTGGAATATGAATTTGTAGGATATAATTCTTTGTTCACTTCGATTTATATCTATTCCTTTGAAGACCTGATTGATTGGTTTCTCGCATTTTCAGGAAGGTGTGTACAAAAACAGCACGCCTCTACAAAAAAGACAGACAATGGAAAGTTATTGCTACGTTAAGTTGTTTTTCTTAGACAAATATTTTACACAACAACAAACATATGAAACATATGTATGAACTGCGGTTATGAAACGTATGTGTGCACGATCCTTCGCAGTAAAGCACTATTTGAGCAATAGTGAAAATCAGACCTGAAAAAAATTTTTTTCAGGTCTGATTTTCACTATTGCTCAAATAGTGCTTTACTGCGAAGGATCGTGCACACATAAATATTTTACAGTTGTGGACAAATTTGTCTCGTGTTTTCTATGCGACGAACCGCGAATCGTAAAACGGCACACAAATCAAAAACAATATAACTCATAACCAAACTGCCTTTTTGTAAACACTGCGTCAATTATTTACTTAATCAATATTTTTAATCTACGATACTTCGCTAATTGGACCTGCATACCGTCGCTGTATTGGGTTCTGTCCTCGTGTACCGGTTCACAAGGGAATTACCATTGTTCTTTCTTTGTTTAGGAGTCATTGGTTAGCTGTTGTGTATTTTTCGGTCTTTTGTAACGGCTCTTGTGAACCGGTACACGAGGACAGAACCCTATATTGACGCCGAAGGGTAGATTATGTGCCCCACGGTCACGACATCTAGAGCCACTTCAAGTTAAACAAAACCATTCAAGCTAAGAATGCAAATTGGTCCTAGCTACGCTATGATAAAACTGTTTTTAGCTCTTCAACGTCACCGACTCACAATCCCAAGCACACTCAGGCAAAGTAAGTTGTTGACAATTATTTCCTTTAATTCAGATTCTGTGATAAGATGTTTGCACAAATTGAGATAGAGTTTCTTTTATCCTCGCAGCACAACTGAAGGTGAGCCAAGCGAATACAATTTAACAGATGGCAAAGTCTAGCCTTTTCAAGTGCTCTTTTCTTGTGTTCATGTTCATTATATTTTGTTATCTTCGCACAATAAAGATATTTGAGATTTCGCTCAAAATACCAGCGCCTCGGCAAGTTACAGAACTAGAAAAACTATTCAAACTGCGGAATAACTTAAGCGTTATTACATCTGACAAAGCATTATTGGCAAGAAGTATTCAAGCTGGTAATTCTGATGGCTTTAGGCATGTTTTGATGAAAGCTTTACGAGGAGAAAACGTCAGCATGTTAGTGATCGGAGGTTCTCATAGCGCAGGAGGAAAACTAGGACTTGACGAGAACAGCCGGGATGGATTGTATTATAAAGTATTCCAAAATTGGTGGAGCGAAACTTTTGGTAGATTTGCAAAATCTTTTTTGAATGTAACAGCGCTAACAATTGGAGATACGTCAAGCTATTTCTTCGCGTTTTGCTATAGAACTTTCATTCCCGAAGGCACAAGCCTCGATATTGTGTTGATAGAAATGTCAGCTAATGATAAAGGATTTGCATCGGCAAAACCACTGGAACAACTGACGCGACAAGCTCTGATATATCCTACGGCACCAGTGGTCGTCTACATAAACGTTGTCCATGATTTTGGAGTTAATCCTTACACTAAAACAGTAGAAAATCCATCTTGTGTTACTCTCGAAGACTTTGGCCAGGCAGAACTTGCCCGTCATTACGATATCACATCATTCAACTTAAGGGAAATAATTTGTAGGAAAGAGAAAGGTCGATGGAAAGTAGTATACTTAAGAATGGCAGGCTCAGATGGTAAGCATATTGGCGTCAAGGCGCATGCTCAGATTGCTTACATGATGACTGAATACGTGGAAAACATTTACCAAGAGATTGCTCACAACTTCACGAGTACACATCCGTTTCCTATCACTCGTGTCAGGGGCAAACGCAAAAGCTTCACTCTACCGAGTTTATGTTTCATAAAGCGGGAAACTGAAGCCTTAAAAGAGCCACTCTGTTGGACGGGGAAAACGCCAAATGTATTTAAGAAGCTTCACCGCTCTAATCTAAAATTTGAAATCAAAGAGAAAGCTGGCTTTTCACCATGCATCCAAATGTACGGACAAAAATGGAATGTTAAAAGGGTCGGTGCAGAACTTCGCACTGATTCTAAAGGGGGATGGTGTGCTTGGAGAAGCTCTAGCATCCTTAAGCTAAAGATCTACGTTCCTCGGATCGTTGGTGACAATTCGTTTCGCACTCGGTCAGTGACAATTTTGACAATACATAAAGAAGGCAGGGCTGCAATATGGTTAGACAACAACAAAAACAGAACGGTTAAAACTAAGTCGACTAAGTTTAGAAAGAATCAAGTCGACACGATTGGACGTAGATTGGAGCCAGGTTACCATACAATTACAATTAGAGCATTATCCAACGAAATGTTTTGTGTAGCTGGAGTGTTTGTTGGTGCTCCTGACTATCATTTAGTGTAGACTTATGTTCCGTTGCTTGGTAATAAGTAAAGTAAAGTGCGTGATAATCGTAGTAGTCAAAACTATGACAAAATTCTCGAACGGGATTGAAATTTTGCGTTCTATTAAGTAGTCAAGCATACAAGCTATGCAAGTGTTTTGAAAGAGCAGGAAATTACGTAACGTACCGTAAAGCCTCTCGAATCTAACGACTCTTACGTCTTTACGTCAATGCGGTTTCTTTTTTACTGGACCCTCGTATAATATTTTACCCATGTTGTCCTTGTCAGGAGTAAATTAGACTCATCGTAGTGGAAAAAATTTCATAATACACTGGTGAGACTGCAGGAGAGGATTTTAGTGAAACAAGGGTTACGAACTTCATCGACAAATTATTTGATGAAGGAATTCAGACTTAACGATGTGTTTGCGTTTACCCATTAGACCGTAACGACAAGCTTTATGACGACTTAGGAAAAAGAAAAACTGAACCTAAACTCGGCTTTGCATGAAGGCGAGTTTAGGTTTCACAAAGAGTTGCATTGACAAACGTTGAAACTTTAATTGTGTTATTCCTATGATTCACAAACTCATGATCAACTGAAGACATCAAAAAGCTGTGTGTTATTCTTGCGTGTTTTGTGGCTATGGTGCGGTATTCAAGGCCCCCAGGCGAACCTTATCACTGACAAGGCAGTTGTTTTTAATCTATTTCTAGTAACACCTAGAAATATCAACTTCTACTTAACATGCAAATAATCTCTCTTTTCTCTATTATTATTTCGGTAGTTTTTAACATCGGTGTATCGGTTTTGGTGTTCATTGCCGTTTGCGGATTTTCGGCTTTTTTCAGCATTTGGTTTTCGGTTTTCAAATTTGGTGTCCGATATATTTTTCGTTTTTTCCCATTTGGGTTCCGGTTTCTCTCCCTATCTGAGCGGCAATTATGCGCCTCCACTGATCTCGAGTAGCCGCGAAACCTCTGTATGCTCCACTTGTCACCACTGTGTCGGATCGATTAGGGTTTTGAACCATTTGTGTCCGTTACGAAAGAAAGGAAATGTTTAATTTTTCACTGCGGAAAAAAGTGGGGGAGGGGGTCGGACAGTGAACCCCTCCCCCAACCCCTATCTCTTCACAGTCCCTTGTACCGACAAAAAGGGTAAAAATGAAACGCTGCATAAAAAGAGATATAATTAATGTTGTGGTTTACAGCACAGGTTTTTTTGTGCAGCCAGACATTGACAAACATTGTTTGAGTCCTGGAGTGTAAAATCATATAGAAAATGACCTGAAGGAAAATGAAACTTATTTCAATCTTGCAAGAATTGGCGTGGAGTTGCATGCTGAGGGTCCGAGTTACCGTCGGCAGATAACAGTCAATTTTGATTCGAGTTCGCGCAAGGTTCGAGTCTGAATGGGTCAGAGCTATCGGAAATCGACTGCAATTTGCATTGAATTTTATGTTGAACCCTTTCAACCGTAGGCACGACCACTGTGCTTTTACTAAAATGCTATGAGGGCCTCACTGATAACTTATCCTGCGCCTGAATCAGCAAAACTTGAAACTCTTTCCAGGCAGTAAAACATTCCTTCAAATTAAGTGTATAGTGGATGTTATGTTATTGATAGAGATGTTTTATGCCAAATTTTGGCAGACTCTGTCAATTAATGAAATCAGAGACTATTGCGATTTGAATTGCAAATTTTCTATCATGATCTTGTTATTATTCATGAATTACTTTCCACTACACGTGCAGAGAAGAGAATGTCACTCGGGCGTAAAGGTTTACGACCATTATAGCCGTTTTACTTGGTTTTTAATATCAGGTATACAGAAAATTTTCTTCTAAAGGCACTGTCATTTCCGACATGGCCACCACGAAATCTCGTACGTGGAAACCCCAGCAAAAGCCAGCTCATGAACCAAGAACATTGCAGTGCATGATGACGAGCTATGGTGGCCCATTATTTAGTTCTTCACGTAGAGGTAATTTTAGAGTCTTACCCTTTTGGAAAGTAACTCATTTTGAATATAATATGCTTCATTATTCGGGAGAGATTTCGAAGAAGTGTTCAACTTTTATTTACAACATGAAGCAACAGAGTTTGTGAAATGTTATTCATCGTAACTTTGTTTTCAATGTGATATGACCAGAAAGCAGCAATGATAAGTACACCATTAAGTTGCTTTCATGTATTGAATGATACTTATTCCAGGTAGAAGACCTATTTTAAAACTGTTTTTCGTAAACTTTCACGGTGTTGATGTCCTCGCTAAAGAAATTTCTCGAGCTAATCCTACCACATTTTGTTCATCAGAATTCTAAGTGGACCCAAAAAACATGGGCAAAGGCAATCAAGAAAGCTTCAGAAACCGGTAAGTGGGAATTATCAACAATCCATATTTAACAAATGTTAAACACCACAGCGTACACTATTGAGAGGCAAACGTCGCTCTCTGCTATCACCTCGCGCGACTCTTACGCTTCTTTCGCGCTTAGCAACCTCCCGCGGGTATCCATAACTCAATAGTGTACACTGTGGTGTTTACCATTTGTTTTATACCATAAAATTGATACATTGTAGCTAAAGAGTTCCTTTTTATAGAACACTGATATCTTACATGACTGGAAAAAAAACAAGCGCGCGGAAACTAGTCTTTGCATTTGCTCACGTCAGCAGTGTACTAGCAAATGGTGGACACCGAATTGACCAATCAGAGCGATCACTTTACTTTGGTTATGTTATAATATTTTTATGGTATAGTAGGCTACAAGATTTGTAATTATGTTAGAAGACCCCTTATTGATGAAACAAAGCAACGATAATAATGTATATAGCTTGTGTCTATGATCACAGTTGCAAGGACAGATCTAGGGCCCAGTTGTTCGAAGGTCAGATTTTAATCCAACTTTCATTATTTCTCTTTTCAAAAGCCTCTTTGAAAAAAATTCCGCTTTTATTTTTTAAAAATTCAATCATCAAATTGTAGACAATAGGCTTTAAACTGAATTTTCTTTTTAAGCTCAGTTATGAAACAAAATTTCCCAGTTATTTTGGATTACCTTAATCCAGCTTTGAACAAACTGGCCCAAAAGATAAGTTAAGCCTATGACTGACCACGGCAAAATTTCTCGTTACGTTTTACAGTATCGATGCAGTATCAAGTAGACTGAGGTGATGAGAAGAAAGAAAAATCTCAGTTAGAGGATTACAAGTTCATCTAATACCTAATTCTTAGAACTAAAATCTTACGAATTATGAGGCAGATAGTAAGGAGAATTAATGATGAGATCTTGGGAGTCAGTTAAGGCTTCAAAAAATTATTTCTCATGAAAGAGATGATTTTTTTTAGTATCAACATGTGTACGAATTTTCTTGTGCTTGTTGGATGACAATGGAATATCTTTAGGTATGGAGGGTTTGAGGGTTTGATATCGAAGTAAAAGAAGTTGGCATTCTAAATTCTCCTTATTGCCAAAGAACTGTAAGATTCCCTTGATCTTGTACCCAGATCCTACCGTTTAACTGTCACAGCTGAAATGTAGGCCTCTTGGCCGTGGACGGTCTGGGTATGAGACCATATCCACTATGAATATTTGTCTCACCATGCCGTCCTGGACCATGATACAAAAAAAATATATATATATGAAAAAGTGTTAATTTTTATTCTTTGGATTCGGAAAAGCCGAGGTGATTGAGATTTCTACGGGAAACAAGTTTTTACAATTTCTCATTTGAGTAGCAGAGCATGTACAGAAACGAATTCGAGCCTGTGATGAATATTTTCAAATTTTATCATTCGTTGAGTTCAAACCCTTACTACTCGCAGATATTTCACTCAAATCTTACAAATATTGAAATTTTAATACCTCCTTGTCCAAATGGCGTGACACAACAAGAAGCCAAAACAAAGTTATCCCAAGCCCTGCCTTCACGGCCTCTGGGAATTTTTTTTTTCTTTTAAACTTAAGGCGATACATTTTTGCTGCGTTGAATTTGCGCGATTATTATCTTTTCTTCTTCATTTTTTTTTATCTTAAGGTGAATCAAGAAAAATTTGCTTCATCTGCAAAATTGAAGCCCTGCAAAGTTTTCTTATCCCTTTGTGGGAGTGATTAAAATCGCTCGAAACATTTCTTGGATGTATTATAATCAGGCCGTTCTACTGATACTAGTTCTAAAACTTTTAGAAAAAGTGGCTATATTCCGTGCACTGAAATCACAGCAGACAAGGCTCTGCAATGATCCTCGCATTCTAATAAGGAACTAAGCATGATATTTCAGGACTTTGATCCTTCTTTTGATATTTTCTTTTCTTTGAGGACTCTAGGTCAAATTCCTTCGATTTTCAACATAAGTTACACATGCCAAGTACACAAATGAGGAGGACTGGACAAATGAGACTTACAAGATTGAAAAATCGATCTAGCCAATGAACAAGTAATGGACGGAACGGACCAAAAGACGTATCATAGGACTTAAAGAAAGCCTGCGCATGCTCTAAGGTAGAATTACAAACTTATTTACTGTGATGTTTTAAGGAAACGGAGAATTTCTCTTTTCTCTTCTAATAATTTTTAAAAAATTGGTGCATTTCAAACAATTTTGACAGGTCAAATATTGAAGCAAGAAAAACGAATTCGAAAACTGCGCGACTTATTTGTTAGTTGAGCTAATTATGGTTCAAAGAAAAGAAAAGAAGAAAGAAAAAATTTTGAAGTTATCTAAAGCGTTACAAAGAAAATAATTATCAAGACATTTCCTTGTCACATACGAACTCATTTTTATACCAGTGTCGCCCCTGTAAACCAGCCTTTATGCAGATTTACTCTTTTTAGTTTCAAGAACTACGACGAGAAAGATTTCAGTAGAACCTCATTTTATTCTAAAAAAAAACCGTATTATGACTGTTTTCGCCGTCTTTATGCCATTTTTTTTATCCAAAAATTTATATACATAATGAGGTGTGGCGTTAAGCTCAAAGCTTTTCCTAGAAACTAAGACCATGAAAAAGATTGTCTTTTTAAATCACCAAAATTTACTGCATTGCGACACTGAGCTTACCAT